GTGAAGTGCAACCCAAATGGACCATGCCGGGTCGGGTCAAGTATATACCAAATAAGTTATGGACTTAGACATCTTATCCAACAGTTTTTGCGAGCCGTACCGATACGATTTATACAAATCGTAACATCGATCGAGCAATTCGGAGATTTGAAGAATATGACGGTGGAAGAAGTTGTGGGTCGTCTTAAGACCCATGAAGAGAGACTTCGAAGCTATGGAGAAAAAGAAGGACATTCTCTATTGCTTACACATGCCGAGTGGGCATCTCGTTCGAAGCAAACTGGCGAGAGAAACTCGTCAAACACTTCAAGAGGACGAGGAGGACATGGTAACCGAGGCCGGGGACGAGGCCGAGGTCGTGGACGTGGCCAAGGAGGTGGTCGCGAGTACAATACAAATCGGAATGACCATAATCCTTCTCGAAAGGATAAAAGTAAAATCAAATGCTTTACTTGTGAACAATTTGGTCATTATGCTTCGGAGTGTCCAAACAAGAATCGAGGTGAGGAGGCAAACCTCACTCAAGCCAACGAAGAAGAGCCTATTTTAATGATGGCAACCTCACAAGAATATGCACACAAAAAAGTGTCTCTAAGAGAGAAGATTTGTGTTAATCTTCTTGTATCGGGAGAAAGTCGAGTCGAGTCTGAGGTATGGTATCTCGACAACGGTGCTAGCAATCACATGACTGGAGACCGCTCAAAGTTTCGCGAACTAGATGAGCACGTTACGGGCCATGTGAAATTTGGGGATGGTTCGACCGTCGCTATTTTGGGAAAAGGGTCGATTTTATTCGATAGCAAAAATGGCGACTAAAGACTCCTTAATGAGGTATATTTCATTCCAAGTCTAAAAAACAATATTATTAGTCTTGGACAAATGACGAAGGAAGGGAGTCGGGTCATAATGGATGGGTCTGATCTGACATTGTTTGACAGAAACAAAACTCTACTTTTGAGAGTTAAACGATCCCCAAACCGGTTATATAAAACTCCTTTAAGGACCGGTAGACCGACTTGTCTTTTAGCAACAAAAGACGAACCAGCTTGGATATGGCATTCTAGACTCGGTCATGTTAACTTTCTCGCCTTAAAGAAGTTGTCCGAAAAGAATATGGCAATCGGAGTCCCAAAGATTGAGCACCCAAACCAAGTATGTGAATGGTGCGTTCTTTCCAAAAAAACCCGAATTCCTTTCCCGGATCATGCAGTTTTTCGAGCTCAAAAACCTCTACAACTTGTTCATGCGGACTTATGTGGTCCGATCACACCTACGTCTGTTGGAGGGAGTAAATATTTTCTCCTTTTAGTAGACGATTTTAGCCGGTGGATGTGGGTTTACATGCTATCGGAGAAGTCTTAAGCCTTGAGCGCTTTCAAACGGTTCAAGTTGATGGTTGAAAAGAATTCGGGTTATCAAATAAAGACACTTCGAACGGACCGAGGGGGAGAGTTCACTTCAAAAGAATTCTCATTATTTTGTGAAGAAATTGGTATTCAAAGGCATCTTACGACACCATATTCGCCTCAACAGAACGGAGTTGTAGAAAGGCGAAATCGGACCGTTATGGAAATGGCAAGAAGTCTGCTCAAAGGTAGAAATGTTCCAGGAGAGTTTTGGGGAGAAGCGGTTAGACATGCAGTTTATCTTCTCAACCACCTGCCAACAAAAGTACTTCCCGACAAGACGCCTTATGAAACGTGGTTTGGCAAAAAGCCCAACCTTTAACATCTAAAAGTTTTTGGTTGTGTTGCTTTTGCTAAACTTGTAGGTGGTCACTTGAAGAAGCTTGATGATCGAAGTAAGAAGATGGTGTATTTAGGTGTGGAAGATGGAACTAAAGGCAACCGTTTGTTTGATCCGCAAGACCGAAAGTTGCGAGTTAGTCGCGATGTTGTTTTTGACGAAAAAGAAGAATGGAATTGGTACAAAAACAAAGAAGAAGAGATGGCGACTCCTAAGACCTTTACCATAATTGAACCACAACCCCAAATACACCTCGAAACACCTCAAAATGACCCCGAAATCAATCCGGAACAACCAAACAGCCCAGGAATCGATGCTATCCAAGTTGGACAACCATATGCTGAATTTGACGAGCCTGAACCAGCTCCACATACTCCTGTCTCAGCCCCGTTTTCTTCAACGTCGCCCCATATGGAAAGCCCTTCTAGTGAGATTGGGCCAAGGGGATTGCGTCCGTTAACCGATATTTATTCTGAAACCGAAAATGTGTTCCTTGAACCCGGAGAATTGTTGATGATTGCAGCGGATCAACCCTTGAATTTTAAAGAGGCGGTAACCTCTAAGGCATGGCAGGAGGCTATGCAAACAGAGTTGGATGCAATCGAGAAGAACAAGACATGGCAACTTACCGATTTGCCATCCGGACACAAAGCAATCGGTTTGAAATGGGTGTTTAAAGTGAAGAAAGACAACTTGGGAAAAGTGGTGAAGCATAAAGCTCGACTTGTAGCAAAAGGATTTGTACAAAAGGAAGGAGTCGACTTTGATGAAGTTTTTGCACCGGTAGCACGACTTGACACCGTAAGGCTCATTCTTGCCTTAGCAGCTCAACATGGGTGGGTTGTCCACCATCTCGATGTCAAATCGGCTTTTCTCAATGGAGATCTCAAAGAGGAGGTTTATGTCACCCAACCAGAAGGATATGTTGATAAAGCAAACAGTCACAAGGTGTTCAAGCTTTATAAAGCTCTTTATGGTCTACGACAAGCTCCTCGAGCTTGGAACATTCGTTTGGATAAAAGCTTAAAAAGGCTTGGTTTTACAAAAAGTTCACAAGACCCAACTGTTTTCAAAAGGAACTCAAAAGACAAAATTCTTATTGTTGGTGTCTATGTTGATGACTTGATCATTACCGGGTCGAACACTAATGATGTTGTCGAATTCAAAGAACAAATGAAGAAAGAATTCGAAATGAGTGACTTGGGATTACTTTCTTACTACCTTGGAATCGAAGTTTCACAAAAGAAGTGGGGAATATCTTTGCGACAAACGGCTTATGCAAAGAAGATTTTAGAGCAATTTGGGTTGCTGGATTGCAATCCGACAACGTCACCAATGGAACCTAAGTTGAAGGTTAAGAAGGATGAAGATGGTGAAAAAGTTGATCCAACTGAATATAGGCGAGTGGTAGGTTGTTTGAGGTACTTGACTCACACTCGACCAGACCTATCATTTTCGGTTGGAATTGCAAGTCGTTTCATGGAGGAACCAACCACTTTGCATTTCCAAGTTGTGAAACACATCTTACGATACGTAAAAGGAACCGTTGATTATGGAATCAACTATGGAAGAGGTCATGAAATTGAAGATTTGGTTGGTTTTACCGATAGTGATCTTGGAGGTGACCCTGTTGATAGCAAGAGCACAAGTGGAATGATTTTCTATCTGGGAAGGAATGCGATAACTTGGCAATCCCAAAAGCAAAAGACTGTTGCTTTGCCCACGTGTGAAGCCGAGTTCATGGCAGCTACAACAGCAGCATGTCAAGCCATTTGGCTTGCTAATCTCGTGAAGGAGCTCACGGGACATCATATTATGCCTATCACCTTATATGTCGATAACAAGTCAGCAATCGCATTGATGAAAAATCCTGTGTTTCATGGTCGAAGCAAACACATTGACATTCGTTATCACTTCATACGAGAATGTGTTGAACGTGGGCAAATTATAGTGGAATATGTCAACTCGAAGGATCAACGGGCGGACATCTTTACAAAGGCTTTAGCATACGTGAAACATAGTGAAATGCGAAACATGATCGGCGTGAAGAATCTCTAGCCAAGTTCGGTTTAAGGGGGAGAATGTGAGTGTAAACCAGACTTGGTGTGAACCTGACATCAGTAGCTGCACCTCTATCTATGTTGACAATAAGAACTCAAATGGCAACTTCGTATGTTCACATAATGAACACAATAAATGGTAGCAGTAGTAATTGTAGGCTTGTTTAAGTATAAATAGAGGCTCTAACCTCAGTTGTAAGACACCACAAACATAGAGTGTAGTGTGTAATACTTAGAGTGAGTATTAGAGGGTTGTTTCTTTTTCTTGTAATATTGAGCGTGTAAGCTCTTCTCTTTTGTTCTAGTTCTGAATAAAAGTGTGTTTCAACCCCAACAGACTCCTATGGAAGGTTATATGGAGCTCGCAAAACAGTTAGCAGAGTATTGTGGTGGAAATCCACTAGCTCTTAAAGTATTGGGTTCTTCTCTATTTTCTAACGCTAAAGAGCCAAGGGAAAAAATTAGCATGATAGAGGTTTGGAGAAGTACATTGAATTCACTGAATTCATTGAAAGGAAATCTTGATGATAGAATCCAAGGTATCTTACAAAAGAGCTTTGACTCATTGCCACATGCTATTAACAAAGAGTTGTTTCTGCACATTGCTTTTTTCTTTGTTGGTGAATATGAGGGCTATGTGGCAAAGATATTGGAGCATGAATGGCATGCAAAGGCTGGGATCAGGACCCTCATTAACAGATGCCTTCTTACCATCTCACCAAGTAAAAAAGTGATGGTGCATCAATTGCTCCAAGGGATGGCAAGAAACATAGTCCTTCAAGAGTCCAGAGATCCCGCAGCACGTAGTAGAGTCTCGCAAAATGATGAATCTTATCGTTTGTTGAGAAAAGGAGAGGTACTAAGATGCTTCTTAATTATGTGTATCTTTAAACTTAGTTTCCCTTTCACAACCTCCTAAGTTTACTTTCTTTGTCTCATTTCATGTCATTACTCGTTAGGGTTCAAAAACAATTGAAGGTTTGGCACTTGACTTAATCTTCATGTTCAAGAAAGGGTTGGCATCAAATGTAAGTAAAAAACATGAATGAGTGTGGTACTCTTGATATTTTTTCTGAATTGACCTTAATTTTCAGTCCATATTATGTCATACATGAGGTATAAGGTACGTACTAATTAATTAACTTAATGCTAAATTTGCAGCCATTAACCCTTAAAACAGCTTCACTTGCAAAAATGGACAAACTCAAATTGCTCAAGCTCCGATATGTGAGAGTGAGACTCGCAAGGTCCTACAAGAATTTTCCAGAATTAAGATGGTTGTACTGGAGTCATTGTCCACTGACAAAAATACCCTCCTGCTTATTGGGGAGCAGCTTGGTGGCTTTACATATGAGCGATGGATGGTTGAAAAATTTTGAACCGCCCATGGTAGGCATTTGATGTCCTGTTTGTCACATGAGCTTTTAGCTTTTCAACTCTCTAACAGTTTATCTTTTATCATACGGGTGAATCAATCTTGGTATTCTTGGAATAGGTTCTTAACTCGCTGAAGATCCTAAATCTTAAATATTCGCTCGATCTTGTCAGTATCCGCCATCTTTCCCGACTTCCTAATCTCAAGACTTTGATTCTCTCGCACTGTTGGAGTCTCAGTCTGACTCAAGTTTGTAAAACCATTGGAGGTCTTAAGAAGCTTTCTCTATTGGACTTTGGAGGGCGTCATCGTCCTAGGAATAAGAAGTATGCAAATCCACTGCAATTGTTAAAAACTCTATTTACCGGTGGAGGAATGCCACAACTGTTTTTGGTCCCCTTTCCAGACTCATTAAAGAATCTGTTTCTCAGTTACAGCCATGATGATTCATCGTCTTTAAGTAAACAACATTCATCCTTTTACAATCACTTGAACTTTGGCAGTAATCCGTTAATGCTGCTGACCAATTACACTAATCTTAAAATGCTTCGGGTACTTGATGTGAGTGATTGTCGAAATATAAAGTCCCTCCTATGTCTCCAAAGTACGCTAGAAGAGTTGTATACATCGTTATGTTCTTCACTGGAGAAAATAACATTCGAATTGGATCGGTTCAGATTGCGGAAATTTGAATATTTTGAAAGGCAAAACTTGTTTGAAATTCAAGGATTTTTGAAATTGGTGCCTTTAGCAAAGGTTGATGAAGCAGATTTGGGACATATGAAATGGATCAAAACATATCATGATACTGAGGTGAACCTTGCAGGTGATGATGTCAATAGATACGGTTGTCATACAAAGGTACCTCTCTCTCTCTCTCCACATCTTTTTTACCACCGGAAAACTGATTAATATATGAATAATTTGATATTTCTGCAATTTTTCTGACCAGGTGCTGTACGAATATGGTATAATGAGCACATATCTGGCAGGCATAAAGGATCAAAGCATGCCAATGTCCAAGTATGTGTCATCGTCATCGTTCTTATCCTTTCGTGTGCCTTCTTGTCCTGAGAAATGCAGGATCCGAGGATTAAACATAACCGCCTCATACAGACGATTCGGCACATCACACAACAAGGATAAAGATAGGTGGGCTTTATTCACCAAAGTCAGCAATACAACCAAAGGCCTTACTTGGATGTATAACCCTTTGATCTATTGTGATCCGGGGGTTGGAGTAGATGCTGTGTGGTTAAGCTATTGGCCCATTGGGAATATATTAGAAGCTGGTGATGAAATCAATGTGACCATCATTGTGGGGGATAGATTGATTGTAAGCAAGTGTGGTGTCAGCCTCGTTTTCATATATGATGGTGAAGTAGAGCTAGAATACTACAAATATTACAAGATTGAGGAAGAAGTTATTGGGGGAGATCTATCTGAATTTGAGCTCACTACAGGAGTCTACTATCTTTGTCGCCACGATTACTTCAAGTCAACCACCCCTGATTGGTTAAATATGCTAGTTGGTGATACCATTCCCCATAAAGGTAAATATCCTCTTTGAGCTGCTGCTTTTCATCAAGATTAAGCTGCAAATACTGATTGATCTTTTATATCACACTGTCATAGGCTTACGTGGATGGAGAAAATCTCCTCAGAGTGACTGTAAAATGTCATGTATGTCGCGGTTAGTTTACAGAGACGACCCGTATTCCGATTAGGTCTAAGTACGTACATTTAATCATTCTTTTTAGCATGAAATACCAATATTTGTTTGTAAATTTAAATCAATTTGCAGCTTAAATCCCTTAACTAAAGTAACCTATATATTCATTATACAAATGAATAGGGCTGTCAATTTTATACCATGAAAAACCAACCAACATGATATTAACCATGATATATATTAATCGAAGCAAGAAAGTTGGTAGTTGTTAGACTATCAATTATATTTAGGTTAAGTTTAGGGTAATTAAGTGTAATATCAAACTCTGTATATTGTACCCTATATTGGAATTCATACTGAGAAATCAATTACAATCTTCTCTATCTATACTCTGATTCTTGGTTCTATATGGTATCAAAGCACAATCACCACTAACCCTAGCACCCGTCAACTTTGTTGCCCTAAATCTATATGTTGGCTACTCCAATAAACCATAGCCATTGTTATAGCCTTCACTTATATAGAAAATATAGCCCATAATTCTCACAAATTCGCCTTCACTTTATCACCCATAATTTATGGGTACCGGAAGGCAATGATCCAACCATTCTTGATAACCAACAACCTTTTCAGCTATGTAGATGTCACCGTTCAGTGTCCAACCCAAAAGATTCAAGCAACTGCTAAAGCTGCTCCCATTGATAACCCTAGTTATCTTAATTGCATCTCCAAAAATACACACGTCAGAATGGTAATCATCTCAACAATGTATGAATATTCCTTTCAACATGTTCAAGGAACAATATCTAGAGAACTCTTGCTCACATTAGGATGAGCATATGCACCCATCAACTCAACAAGAGAGTACACGTTGAAAACTCAATGTAACATCCCAAAAATACCGAGTAAAAATTTTGTTTTAATTAAGTTAAAACCATTTATTCATTATCCCAAAAGATGATCAGAGTAGAAGTATTCTCAAAACATCAGAGTAATCATAAAACAATCATTGCAAAATAAATCTCTAGGGGATGCATTCCGATTAAACCGGACCCTTCATTTTGAAACCAAAAGTACTTCAAACAATAAACATAAAATCGTAAGCACAAACCTTAGTGAGTTCCCCAAAAATACCACATAACATATAAATAAACATAAAAGCACGTGGCCATGTCGGGTCCATATCAACCCCATGTAACACCATATAGCTGTGTCGGGTCCGTATCAACCCCCGAGTCCATAATAGCCCTGTCGAAAATACCCGATACCCGAATTACCCGCCCGATTTTTTCGGGTAACGAGTAAATCGGGTATCGGGTAAATTTTTTCGGGTAATTGGGTAACCCGATTTTTTTTCAGGTCGGGTGTAGGGTACGTTTGTTGGGTTTCGGGTATACCCGAATTATTTTAAAAATTTCTTTTTTTCTCGTAGAGCTTGTACTAGTTTTTATTGCAACTAACAAAGTCATTATCTTGATGAAACTTCAGAACATGGCAAAACTTACGGCTACAATTATCTTAAACATTTTAAACTTTTAAACTAAGATCTTTATGTATTTGTTTTTTAACATCTTATTTGATTAGATTAAGCTGTTAAAAGATTACTTGATATCTCAAGTATTATTGACAAAAAAATCTCAATGTTCAAAGTTTTAGTAACTTCGTTTATGCCTCGTTTGTTTATATAAACAAGACTAATAGAGCACGACATATTTATTTCATTAAATTTATTTTCAGGTGTCATTTAAAAAAATATATATATTTCGGGTAATACCCGAATTACCCAAACCGGAATTACCCGAATTTAATTTGGGTCGGGTAACATGTATTTTTTTAACATGAAAAACCCGAATTACCCGAAAACCGAAAAAATTACCCAATCAACACCCCTAGTGCATAATGACTCCGAGCCGAGATCGGCTCCATTCATATATCATACAATCATATCAGTAATAGTCGCTTAGTCACATACATCCTACACATAGGAATTAGTGGGTCGACATTGGTGCATTCGACCCACTAATGTGGTCAGAAGACTTACCTGAATCACAAAGCCGAGAAAAACCCAGCTCAAAATCGCGCCAACCACAACTAACAACTCTCACTCCAAAAGATGGGCACCAAACACCTCCTAACAATCCACACAACGTACACCCTAAGACTACTTTCTAAAAAATAGAATTTTGAAAAAAATTCAATCCCTAACAAAAGTGAACGGTCAAAGTCAACGGCCAATGTTGACTTTAGTTAACCGCCACGTCGTGGCTATAACGCCCCGATTCTCAGGTACTGTTGTTATGGCCTTAATTTTCAAGTTTCAAGGTCTACTCGACGAGTTGGAGGCCATGACTCGTCGAGTAGCAGCGGGATTGAGTCACGCGTTTGAGTGACAACTCGCTGAGTCGGAAGAGTGACTCGACGAGTTGGAGCTGGAGGGTGAAACCCTAATTTCCGGGGTTTTGCACCCTATTTGAGGAACCATTGGCCTCCCTTAGTTCCCTACAGCCTCCCTTGAGTTCAGAAACCCTAAAAATCGTGCTTAACCTCCACTTGTGTGTTTCTAATCTTGGAAGAAGGATCTTGGAGAAAAGAGCTTGGAGTTCAAGAAGTTTGGAGCAAGGGGCTGTTTCAGATCTAGAATCTATCCCATCTTGGTATCATTTTGGAGGTAACAAGTTTTTACCTTGACTCTCCTTTAGCTAGATCTCTCCATCTAGGGTTTTAGGTTCCTTTTTGGGGTGTTGTTGTGATGCTTTCGATTTAGGAGTAGATCTGAGGTTGCAACTTCAGATCTGAACTCCTTCAGCCCTTTATTGTCATAAAGTTTCAGTCTTGGTCAAGTCATGGCCTTCTTCTTACTTCAAGCTTCTTCCTTAGCCTTGTTTTGGCTATTAAGCCCTTGCATGCACGTAAAGCTTACATCTTTACGTGATAAACGTGTCCCAGGAAGTTAGATCCACTGTTTGGAATGTTTGAATAGCTCAGAATCGTCTGGACTTGTGTTGCGTGGTATGGACTCGACGAGTTGGATAATCCAACTCGGCGAGTCGAAAAGGGTTTGCGGTCATTGACATGAATATGGACTCGGCGAGTCTGGGAGATGACTCGACGAGTTGATTGGAAACTCGACGAGTTGATTGGAAACTCGGCGAGTCAAGTATAAGGATTTACGAATTTCTAAAGAACTCGACGAGTTACAAAGCTGCACTCGGTGTGTCGGGTCAACATGGACTGTTGACTTTGACGTTGACCAGTTGACTTTTGAGGGCATTTTGGTAATTGGGACTTATGGTGTGGACCATTGGTGGAATTAGGTGTTGGTATTTGGGAGCGGTATTTGGAGGAGTTGACTACATTATCTTCGAGCTACTTTCGAGGTGAGTTATCCTCACTATATGAACAGGGTCTAAGGCACCAAGGCCGGCCCTTTATGGATTGTGTTCAGAATATTGCATGTTATGTTTACTGATGTACATCCTGTTAGTTAGGATGGTGATATGCTATGCTATGCTTAGTGACCTGGTTAGGTTGTTATCCTGATATGTAGGATGATGTTATGATAGTGACCCGTTAGGTCCATATCCTGTTTATCGGATTGTTGCTATGCTTAGTGATCTGTTAGATCGGTTTGACTATTGTATATGCTGGTGTTTGATATTTCTGTGCACTTGTCGATTGGTTCGGGTTTGGGTTGAGGCGGTCCTGCTTTACGCTATAGGCCAACATACCCTGTGGGCTGTCCGGATAGACTGGAGGCCTGCGAGGCGTTCCAGTCATACCGAAGGCTCGGAAGCGGTCCAGTTAGGCTGTAGACCCTGCAAGGTGGTCCAGTTAGACTAAAGGTTGAGTATGCATGTTGGTATGTACTTGTTGATATGATTATGGTTATGCGAGGTTTGGTATTTTGGGGGGTGAGTCACTAAGATCTCGGGCTTACATTTTCAGTTTATTGTTTCACGTACATCAGGAGATCGCGGCAAGGCAAAGGCGTGATCGTACCGCTCCTCACTTTTATGACTCTGTTTATGGGAAACTCTGATATGATACATTTTGAAAATAAATTTTGTAATAATTAATGGATTTGGAATGTTTTTAAAATTTAAATTTGCTTGATTTTTGTGGGTGTTACAAGTTGGTATCAGAGCCTTGGTTTGAGTGAATTGGAGGAACACTCGTGTGAATCCAGTCTCAAATCAAGGAGAGGATTTTAAAATAAAATAATTTAAAATGGTTTTCAAAATAAGTAAAGGAGGATGTAGAGTGTACGATCAGCCGGAGCCAATAAGTAAGCCCCAAAATACCATATAATATTTGATTATGCGATATGTTAGAACAGTATGCTAGTGCTAGGCTAGGGATCTTCAGGAATTGCATGATAGACTTGCCTGATTACATGATGCCTGCTAGCCTAGGGTTTCCTTTATATGAGATTGACATCATTAATGTAGTTGTCTGGTGTATGCATCACGGTTGTACATAATCAAGATCTTATTGCCTAAGAATGTTTAATTTGACCTTAGGTTAGGATTGGATATTCGAAACTCTATAGGGTCCAACGTTATGTATGGCTAGCATACACTAGTGTTGCAGGGTTGGTGGAAGTTTCATGGATGGGTGGGTCGTGAGAGGCCGTGAGGCTAGTTATGAGATAGTTTAGCATTCCTCTAGGAGTGAGGATTGAGCGATCGCTATGTTTATATATATTGTTTGGGTGTTGTGGTGATACTTGAGACAAATATGGGTAGGTGTTGAAGGTAGTATGGGCACATACTACTGAAAGCACAGGACCCATACGCGTAGCAAGGAAGTCACAACCCCTAGGGTTTAGTCGGGAGTTGGTTCCCTGTTGTTATGCGAATCATCTGATATCTGTTGGTGTGTTTTCAGTATGGTGATGACGAGACGTTTTATGACTGCATCCGGGTCAGGATCAGGATCAGGAGACGGAGGCCAGGAGGTGCTTGTAGCACCTGAGCCTGTGGTACAGATGGGGACAGATGAGCTAGACGCCAGGATTTGAGAGATCCTGCATGATGAGGTTGCCACATTGTTCCG